CTATTATAGGACGAAATTTATGAAAAAACTACGAGAGATTTAGCAGAGTAACATCTTTCATTGAGGCGCTAGTTACAATACAGAGACGTTGCATAAAAAACTGCTGACAAAATGCTGAGATGAATCAAGCTTTTTTGTCATTTGATTGGCTCAGACCATGCTACATGTGCGTTGATTGGTTAATACAAAGCTACACTTCTTTTAAGATATGCTAATTGTGCAAACATTGCCTTTATCATGAATATATAAAATAAACTTTGTTGCAACAATCAAGCAAGAAATCGCTGTCTATAACAGTTGCGAATTTTTTCCAAGAGTCAAACCACAGCTGACTCTTATTATTCATAAAAAATCTCTTCGGCTTTCCTTGCAATCGTTGCACCCGCTTTTGCCAACTTGATTCACCTGAAGTGTGCTTGACTATCGTTTTAATGTATGGCGGAATCACCATACAGAACAGAACGCATCACCAATTGTACCACCCACAGTGCTTTGCGTCTTTCGACATGGCCAAATTTTTGCTCATCAGCTCTTCTGCTAAAAAATGTTCAAGACAACGAGAACCCTTTCTCGTACCTATAAGCACATATTGCCATCAACCCAAACATTATCCTATCTAGATTATTTTATCATTACATGACCTGTTTCACTCTGTAATTAAATACAGATGATATTTATACTTTTCACCCTGAGGCAATTATTTGAAAACAAAGTTATTAACAAACAAAACAAAACACTTGCCACTAACTAAAATGAAGGACATAATGGAAGACGGAACACTTTGGCTTTGCTACACTGCGAGAGTGGCTAACGATGGTTTTGACTTCCATCCATTCCCATATATATCCGAAAATAAAAAAAGAATTCTATTTTTATGAAACTGAAAATCCTAGTTATCATTGCACGAGAAATTCTAGTAAGTTTTTCAACTAATTGAATACGGCAATGACAAGCGTACAGGCTACTGTTTTCAAATATCCTGTGTGCTGCAGTGTCATTGGTGGACCTGAGATCGATCACATGGAATAGTCCTCGTTCTTTTCAAAGCTAGAATAGTTGTACAAACATCTCGCTATTTGCAAAATCTGGGGCCTTGGCAACGCAAATGAGAATTGCCACGATGGATGTTTTTGAGTGCTGACGTAACTTGACATATTTTAGTCCGGTTATTTTTTCATAACATTCGAATGAATAATATCCGCATTCGTAATAACAAATATATTGTTGTCCTTTGATTCATAAAAACACGAACACCGTTCTGAAATGAATAGCTGATTTGACACCATCTAAAGATGCATTCATGTAAGGCAGTGTTGATATAATTTGATGGATTTAGATATCTATAAAACATATTTAGATATCTATAAAACAAGGGATTCATTGAAATAAAGCATTTTCAGACAGTCAAAAAACGTCATTATAAAAAAGTTCGAAGCAGTTATCCTTGCCAAGCCTTTCAAAACATTACGGTTCATTTATTTTTATTTCCAGTTTTATAATGCATATAAATTTCATCCCCAACAGACAGTGTTAAGAAATGCTAACTAATTCAAAGTTGCTGCTTATTCCATATGTGCTTGCTGTTTTCGTTGAGATCAATAGTTGAAAATTGTTCATACGTTCCTTATAATCATTTTTTCTTTATCAGAGCCCCTATAAACGTTTATGGAGGTCGGCCTACTAAGTGCACCTGATTTCTAACGTTCGCCTAAACAAACAGTGTACTGCGATGCTGCCGATAACCTCCTTGAAAATGTTTCAAATGCAAAGACGACATATTGAAACTCCCTGATAGATTCATGTTTTTGAAAAAAATTCAGCATCAAATGATTTAAAGAAAGCTTGTTCAACCATGGCAAGACTGCTTTGTTTATTCTACATCAGTCCGGGAAAGATGTAAAGCAGTTACCTGGCCGTCTACCCCCGGTTGCTACGCCGTATAATAAAAAATTTCATATACCACACCTTAAATTTGTGCGGCAGATCAAACAAGATATTTAAAAATTAATTTCATAATTGTAGATCCCAGGACATAATGAGCGGCGAAGGGCTGTCTAATTCCATGGAGGGGAATTACCCCCCAGGGGTTTTAGGCTTGGCAAGTGAGGGATATAGCGAAGTTTGAATCTGAAAATGGGCCATAGGAGACTCTTTGAACGTTGCCCGCTCCACACCCTGAGCAGATTTGTGCAAAATCAGTATTTTCTACCAAGAATTGGCTCTCATCGTTGTTTTCACACACTTCTCTTGCTTATGAATTCCGTAGGTATACTTAAGGTGTTATTTAAGTGTTGGAAGCTGTGGGGTGACAGCCAAAGAGTCCCCAACCCCTCTGTTCTACATAGCACAATTGTCGATGAGTAGCTAACCAGATTTTTCGCACATGGAAGAGATTGCTAGAAAAGAACTTCGTATAACCAATCAAAAATTTTTGAATTTCATAACGTTATCATTTAAGCACGTCTTTAAAATCAGCATATATAATTAACATTAATATTGCATAAAAACTCCTTGACGAATCTAAACACAGGGTGCTATATTTACATGCAGATATATTGATTGCACATTCGGCTTGAAATTCAAACTAAGATCATTGTAGAGGACATAATATAGTTAGATATTGTCAAAATGTTGTTATTTTGGTGGGAGATGCAATCTGGGTTTATTTAAAGAAATTAAGCGAAAGCCCCTAGTGCGCACAAGTTCCAAAACAATTCCATTTCCTTTCTCGTTGCTTGATATCACAGTCACAAATGCGCATGAATAAAGTTTTGCGTATCATAAAGAGACATGCTGCCCGTTGCATTTCGCGAAATAATGCACGGATAAACGCTACCTAGAAATGTGCTTAGCATCGCCGTTGGCGCCTGACCGCGCGCTTTGTCCATCGATAACAGGAAAATTCCGCCCCGCTGTACTCTTTCTAAAGAGACCTTCGGGGAAAAGCAGATACCCAAGAGGCAAAAATCTCCCCTGCTCGAAACAACTCCTTTGAAATTTTGTTTTTGTCCAACTCATGTTCTCCTTGTTTGCAATTAAAGCTCGCGGATAATTGACTATATCTGTTGGTCTTTGTTTGTGCGCTATGCATGAGATACGAGTCTAGATTTAGACTCGGGGGTGGAGTTTTGTTTATCGCATGGCCTCGGGACTTTTATCAATTATCACATGGTTTTGCAGTGGGCTAAACATCACAAAAAGCGCTTATGAAACCGTATCTGATAAGGAAAACGAAACGAGTTTTTACGTTAGCCACACAAGTGATAGTTAAAAGCTTTCTCCAATATTTTTGCATCGCCAAAAAACAACACCATGATTTTAATATAGAGTAAACATCCGACTACAGATTTTATGCCTCCAAACTTCAGATCTGACTTCAGCTAAAGCTAGCCAGTGAACATGGCTTTGAAACTGAAGTACTCAAATGAGCAGAAATTAGTTTAGTTGAAAGTCAGAGCATAAATTCGTGTGAACATGAATCTTGTAGCTTTAAATCAACTCAAACTCAACGAAAGCTAGCTATTCCGCAGGGCCTTTCAACCACGCCTGCAGAAACAGCGAAAACCGCGCTTGAGTAACGTTACGATAACTTACGATTGGTGTCTTGAGTCAGCAGGTCGAATTTAGTTAATTAAATGTGTCGATTCGATGCCATCCCAAGACCATGTTTCCACGGAAGCGTTTATTCGCAAGCGAATCGCCACTTGGACTGTCGATTGACAAAGTCGTACTGCCATTGCTTTGAGCGAACGATTCAGAAATGTGTGTTTATCGTTCGTTACACTAGTTTATTGAGAGGCCATACTTCAACAAGATCATTATATGCATATTCAATAGGAATTTGCCTTATCAACCCATTCGCATATAACAACTTAGCGCGACATTTAACCAAATCTAAAGAAGAAACAATAATCCCTCACAAATTTGTCTTTAATTTTCAGACAAAGCATAGCCAATGCGATTTCAATGTAAAATAATATTATCTAACATATCATTTTATGCGCTTTCTTCCAGCCTTGGTCTATGAATAAAGGAATTGAAAAAACTCACTGTTTTGTGTTTGATTTTAACTCGCCTCTTTACTAAGATCGATTCATAATGTATTGTCTTAAACATAAGATGTACAGATACGTTTGGTTAGAGAAATTATTAATCCTCGTGCTCTTTCAAATGAACGTTGGTGATTTTCTATATCATATTTGCCTGATTATCGCTGTCTGTTTTCCAAAGAAATTTTACAAGCTTACTCGGTGCGCTGTAAGGCTGGATCCTTATTACAAAGCGAATTATGTAGTCTCTTTCGTATTATATCTTTTTAATGCCCTAAAAGATTTGTAATGCAACGGAGCTTTTTGCCTAAGCGTCTGTACCCTTTAGTGTCTGTTGACCATTGGAAACATGGCTATTGACGCCTGTGGTTATTGCAAGTCGGTGGCCCTGTGCGAAATTAGATTTCATGATTTGTTATATTTTCTTACAACAGAATACCACAAGAGAAAGCACCTTCCGTAACTGAGTTCGGCATTACTGAGTCTCTGCAACGGGTACGTTTCGATCTCTTGTTTAAATTTTGACAGATGAAGGAAATTAATATTTGTTACTTTGCTGAAAATTCCTGTATTTAAATATAACACTTAACTGTATCTTAGAAAGAAAAACGTTTCTATCAATATCACTTCATCTTGATATTTGAATCCAAACTATATTTCCCAGAAATTCTAGCACCAAAATTAAATTAAATATTGATTGAATATATATGGATGCCCAATATTTTAGCAATAGAAATCGTGTTATATTAGAGAAATGTTTCAGTTTCCAGTTTCAGTTTTCTTAAAACCGTATTGCAAAATTGAAACCATATTTCTTGAAATCGAAGCATTACTCACACCAAGATATCTCCTTTATTATCTTGCTCACACCCCCACAACTCTTATTTTTCAATATCATTGTTGTGTTACGTTTCCAGTGCATACTTGTTAGGCGAGTTTCTGTCGTTGCAATTTTTGGTCTAGAAAAATGCTAGGGCCAAGGAGCAATTCAGAATATCCTTGGCCAAATTTCAACAGACAGACAGATGACAGCACGCTCTGATACCTATTCTAAGTAATTTCAGTATAAGATAGCGGTTTATTTTTGGTCACTTTGCCTTCATGTGTACAATTAAACTTTATCTTCTGCTTTCCTTTTCAATTGACTTTTGATTTACGAAAGTGGGAGCCTGTATTTGAATACGTAATTAATCCGAAAATGCGGTTGATATTTGACATTACTGGCCTGAACTGGAAAGACGGCAAAATCGTTTAAAAGCAAGACTCGCATATTGCTTGTGGCACGGAAAATCTCATTATGTAGATTTAAATTATTTTTTATTAAAGCGTGTCATGGGCGAAACAAATTCACAAAGATGGGCGAACAATTTCAAAAGCAATAGAAATGCTTACTGTTGAGGAAAGGGAACAGCAAAGAATGTCAAGTTTATTTATATAACGGTATCGAACCAAACCGAGTTGCAAATGGGGGGTGCGTAAAGAAGCACATATTTTAGGGGAGGGGGAAGCAGATATCCTGCCCCCTCAAGTCCTAATCACCTTAGAATCTTATAGCTACTTCGGCAACTCTACTCTTTGTTCACTAATTTCGCCAATCCAACATGGACACCTTAAACAGCTCTAAGGTACAACACACACAAATTTCTCATCGTGTTTGATTTTCCATTAGACAACCACGAGACTCTCGGAGACACGAACTTTGCTCGTTGATTCGCCGAGTTAGATTTGACTTCACCTAAAAAGATTTCGTCAACTTTCTGAATTTGTTTCTCAACTGAAAAACAAATTTGAACATGAAACTGAAAAAAACCTCACACTTTCGACATCTGTGATGCTTATTTCAAAATTGGATTGAGTTCCGCTTACAAATTCTTACGACAACTTTATAAATAGAAAATGAAAATTGTTGCCTCGATTTGATAAGGCAAAAAAATAAGTAAAGAAAATATTTCTAAATTTATCATTCTGGAAGCGTTCTCGTCCGTTTGGCGAGAGATAGAATCAATCATAACAACTTTTGTCTGTCAACTTTTGTCTCATCTTGCTCGAGGTCACCCCGGCCTAAATTCGATTTTCACGCCTGACGTAAGTTGGAAATTTATCAACTTAACTTTGGTAGCCGACAGTGAATAATTTTTTTGTTCGATTTTTTCATATCTTTCTGTTTTTTGTGTGAAAAACATTATCAGAAACTGTGCTATAAGCCTGCTGAAAAGTCGCCGAACTTTCGAGAAAAATTCATGTTGTAGGCTAAGCTACGAAAGAACCGTTTTCAAAGTTATTTGTTTTATTAGGAACATAAATTTGCGTCATAGTTTCTAAATACTAGTTCATTTCTAGTAAACCTATGTGAATCTTTTTATTATAGATAGATTTTCACAAAGGTGATTAGAAAAGGGATGAGGGTTGAGAACGCGTCTCAATGTAAGCTTTCGTGTCACATCAAGAGATGTAGCGCGGGAAGTAATGTCTCCGCAAAGCGCTGTAACGCCAGAATTTACGATGTAGTAGCAAGATTTGATCAGTGAAGTAACCGTCGCGGACGTGCTATTTCAGATGTTTTTTTAGCATTTTTCTAGTTTTATTGCGATTATCCTTTGAGAACGCCGGTGCATGCTGCTGGCGATTACCCCCGTCTCGATGTTCGCTGCGAATCCCCCTGAGTCTTTATCGGGGGAAAACGCACGTGCTGATTGGCTGGAATTGAATGTAAGAGAGAGTGCGCGCGCTTTCTGGCTGTTGTTCAGCCAGTGAGCGCGATCTGAATAGTCGTGTCATACTTGAATAGACGAGCGGCCTAGTGTCTTTGAATAGCTCGCCCTCCTACCATTCAAAGCATTTCTGAAGAAATTCGAAGAAAAGTTGACCTTTTGGTATCTTATACAAACGAAGAAAGCAGGGTCATAGACAAATACGACAACACAGATTTGTGCGCTGAGGTGAGAATTCAATAGTTTCGTTGATGACTTCTGTTTAGTTTGTCCAATTTTGCTCTACGCAAACTCTACTCTCGTTGCGTTTGCACATCGATTTTATCTCACTTGGGTGAACTGTTCAAATTTAAAAAAATTTGCAGTTCCCCGAATTAATTCCTACTTTAATATTTAGATTTTGAGTATAATTTCATATATAGTCGGTGGAAAATGATTTTCTACCGCATGTTGATTGATGCTAACTGTCGTTTGAGCAACGTTTTAATTCTATGCAAGAAAGGAAACTTATCCTATTTGATTCAGTTCACTGCTTAAATTATGGCCGCTCCTGTCTACTCGCTGAGATATGTTGCCAAATTTCATGTTTACTTCGTCATTAAAAATTCACGTCTGTATTCGAGTGGTAACTTGTGTTGAATGCTCATAGAACTTTTAATCGCAGAGCCCGTATGATTTCCCTATGATTGCCGTAGCTAGCCATTAACAATGTGCTTCGTTTATTGAAAGTTTTTGTTCGCAATTCAAAGCCAATTTTACAGCTTTTTGTTGCCGTATCATAAGATTGTCAATTGAGGCTATCAATCTGTGGTTTCGCACACTTTTTATCCAGGCAAGGGTTTTACAATGACTTTTCAAAGCTAGAGACAAGGTATTCTAACTGTCAGATGTTCGAAAGTTTCCTATACTCTCTTCTAAAACCGAGAAAGGGTATTTCGTTTAGTTGTACACTTTGTCAAGAATTTCTCAGATAAACAAAGACACATTCGTTTACTCGCTAAAAAGTACTTTAAATAACTTGATAGCTAGCGCTATCCGTCCCGTTACGCAAACAAAATTACTTGAACCTGATTCCGCCCATTCGTGTTATGTAAAGATAGGCTGTACGGTCGCAGAACTATTCGGCGTAAATTGCAATCAGCTTTAAGGCTATATTCGCTCCGTTTGTGTTCATAAAATGAGAGTTCCTAAAGATGAATTTACGAGCTAAACTGACGATGTCGTTGTATCTCAGCGCTCCTTGACTTACCTCGAAAACAAATATTTATTTTCAGTCCAATATTCTTTCCTTAATAATCAACTTTACAAGAAACAATCTATCTTTTACATAATAACCATTATAACACTCTGTTTTTTTCTTTTAAGCGTTTTGAATTTTCCCAAGGTTCTCTAAAAACATTAAATTAACTTTGATTTAGTTACTGCTCTGTCTCAACTATTTTTCGCTTACTAAATTAAACTTGATTAGCGAAAGCATCATTGTCAAAAATCTCCCGTAATCGAGTTTTGTTATAAAGTTTATTAGAATAGTCACTTGTAAAACCCACACAAGTCGTACCTTCGACGATGCAAAGGCACTGATATTACTGAGTCGTTAATTCATGTCATTTCAAGGCAACTTACGAATAATCTTAACAAGATAATGTTGAAATGTAGAGGCTTTGTGTTTCGATGTCAGAAGACACAGACTTTCGCTTATTACTCTCCATGCTGTAATAAATGCTTTTTATTGTTCTATAACAATTCTTTTTCACAACCTATTTTAAAGGAAAGATGAACCGGTTGTAAAACTCTTCTGATATCGACAAAATGGTGTCTTTGAATAAATGTTTTAAAAGAATTGGCTGTGCAAAGCTCTGTAACTACTGTATGGATAATTCTTGTGTTCATGTCAGCGCATAAACCCTAACAAAGAATTGTTCTTTACCTGCTTGAATGGGTTCTAATCGCAGTTATACCTTTCTGTGTTTATCTCAACCTCTATTAGACTGACACAGCCTTCAATAGTTTTAATCAACTGCTCTATATCACGGCATTCAATTTTCAGTTGCTTGGTGTTTTTACACCCTACTATAAACTCCAGCATTTACATCAAACAGTGCATTCTCTTGTTGAGTGCCTTCGATTAGCGAAGAGATACAAGCATTTTTAAAGCTGTTCATACCTTTCTGCATAAAATAGAAGATAAAATGATCATGTTACACGCTAGTGTAATTTAAACAGAGAAATATGTTCATCGTGGATGTTACTTCGTGTTACGTGTCGTTGCGTGACAATAGCACATAATTTCTGTGATGGGCAATTAAAGTTCCTACAAGAACTTCATTGTTTGGAAAGAGAAAGACATTTTAAGCTTTTCCTCAATTTCGAAAGATCTTCTTTGTACTGATTCAACTACCCATGCATAACATTATAATCGACCATATTTCGCAATTTTTGCAGGGGTATGACTGAAAATAAAGGATAAGAAAATCCTTTCCGTTGCCGACTTGGTGTTCAATTCTAAAATATTTGGTAGAGGCCATGAAAGTTTCATTAATGAAATTTAAAAATTTGAATTTATTTTTGTTCTGCATGTATTAAAATATTCTTAGCAAGACGTTTTTAAAACTTTTTTTCAATTAGGTTCTAGATTCCCAAAGATGAGCCAAATCACACAAATTAAGATGGAGAACCAACCCTCTCCCCAGGCCTCCGTCAATAACAATCAGACCAACACGAATGCAGACGTGAATAAAAACAAGCAGGAACATGTTAAGCGCCCGATGAATGCTTTTATGGTCTGGTCAAGAGAGAGGAGAAGAAAGATGGCCCAACATAACCCAAGAATGCATAATTCTGAAATCTCTAAGATACTTGGTGCCGAGTGGAAGAGACTCCCCGATTCAGAGAAGAACCCCTACATTGATGAGGCAAAGAGGCTCCAAGCCGAACACAGTGCCCAACACCCTAATTATAAGTACAAGCCAAGGCGCAGGAAAGCCAAACAGATTCTGAAGAAAGATAAAATGGGCTTCCCGTACCCTGGAGCTGACCCCAATGCTATGTCGCCGGCAATCAAATTCCCATACCCATCACCATTTCCACAAGATCCCATGTACCCCCTGTACAATATGAGTCCGAATGCTGCTTATCAGTTGTATGACTCTTGCGTTACGGGGTTACCGAGGCAGACGATGATCACATCGCCGCAACCGAGACATACAAGCGCTCCAAATACACATGACTTCTACTCATCAATGGCGATGCAGTCAAGAGGCTCAACCTCAAGTACCTCTGATATGATGTCACTGCAGACAAGGTATGCTAACCCTATGGATGTGGCCGTTACACAGGCGTTCACGACGACGCAAAGTATGCACGTTCAACAACAGGAATCACCGACAGTGAGCAGTTACTCTCAACTCTATGGACATGCTCAGCGGCACTTGTAGACTGAGATAGTCCTTATGATAATCAAATTGCATTGTGTTGCATCTGGGTTGCATTGTGTTGTTGGTATTTTTGGAAGCCATAATAAATCTAACGCGACACGCATCTTTATTTAGTTGCAACGTCAATGCAGTTTTTTAACAAATGACAATTGCATGTTGATAATAGAACTGATTCGAAAGCAGATTATTGCTAAACGGATGTATATGTTTTTACTGTCAGTCGGTCAGGGTATAGTGGTCAAATTTTACGTTATTATTGTTTAGGCCAAAAGCCGTTAAGAAGAATCTCGTGTTTTTCATGCTTAGAAGAATAGGTGAACATATGAGACTTTAAATACGATCATTTTATCGTATTGGGATAATATCGGTCCATATTATTTGATTAATGTTGTAATATAGCAATAACTCTCCTTCTTTCCTGTATTCAGTGATACCTTACCATGAATTTAGTTCTTTACTGGCTCAAGCCATTGAAGCCTTTCATTTCAATCATCACAATTTTTCTCTCTATGAATCCAATAAAGCCACACACTAACTAGACTCTGTACCCCGTGGGTTTTAAAATGGCCTCATCATTCCAGTACTAGACCTTCGGTTATCAATTCAGTGGCGCTGATGCGAGACATTACAGTATAAATTCGAACTATTCATAAAATCAGGACATTGCAGCGCAAAATACTTTCATCATGAAGTACATTTTATATTAGCTTTTTGTTGCTGCTCACCGGCCATCTTTGGCACAGTAACACGTAAAGGCTAGATCCCGATACTCACCCACTACAACACTTAAAACACAGCACACTGAAAATATATACAGTAAACTCCAGATAACTCGAACTCCCAGTAACTCAAACATTCACTAAGTCGAACTTATATTGCATTCCTCTTGCCCAATACAGTCATCATGTAATAATGTTCCCGATAGCTCGAACATTCTTTATCAAGAACAGTTTCATAGGTCTCTTGGGAGGTTTGAGTTATTGCGAGTTTACTGTATGCAAAATATCACTTATGACGATTCAATTCACGTTTGCTTATAGCTGAATTGTGATCTTTGAATAACTCTTTCGGGCCTAGCTAGATAATACGAAACTTTGCGTTTCCCACGTTTAACACTTATTTAATCTTTATAATTCTTATCGTTATTTAAGCTCGTACGCACTAATATATATGTATATATATATTTATATGTATGATTTCTGTTATATATGAATATATTATACATATGATAAATTCTCCTGTGTAAGTATGACCGAAGATGATGACGTCATAGATTGAAGAGCCAGTTTGAAAAAAACAAAAGCATCATAAGTAACAAATATGAAAAAGTTAGATTTTACCAATTTACCTACAAAATTGTGCAAAATGCTTTTATCTCGGGATCACTTACACAGAGTTACTAACATCCATTTTCATAGCATCCAAGCTCTCCTCAGAAATTTAATTTAGAGCAACACGCACGGCTAGTTTTGTGTTTATACCAGGACAAACGTTCATATATAATTTTAAAGATTTGATGTTGTGTCCTTTCTTGTCAGAGGTCTTTTTTTCTTGGATTTACAATTTTAGAAACGTTAGTGATCTCAGTTCATAATGGTTTTTCAAAAGCACCCAAAAAGCAAACTATTTTTGTTAAGTCTTAGCAATTGCGAAGTTATAAAATGATCAAGAAGAATTTTAGGCTATTGGGAGTTTTCGATAGTGTTTCTATTTATGAAAGCTAGAGATTGAGCAAGTTTTAAAAGGCCATGGTCATTCACAGTCTAAACTTGAGATAAAGCTTCTGATACAGGATGGCGGTCAATTGGATTGCATAATGACTCATTGGCGATGGCCGCTAGAGATGACTCTTACACAATATGCGATTTTGATCCACCAGGCACAGGAAATGGGGCGGAGCAGGGGGGGGCTGGGGGGCTATAGCCCACTTTTTGCAAAAAATGTCAAATATTAAGTGTCAAACTACCAGAAAAGCCTCTTTTTATACGGTTTCAGCCCCCCACTTTTTAGACCCCCACTTTTCTCAACGCTCCGCGGTGCTTGTCCACTGATGGCTGTGAATAATGTGCGGTTATCATTTGCTCTACAAGAGTGGCAAAACTGCTTTTTAGTTATCATAGAAAGCAATTAATAATCTGAGAATATAGAAAAGTTTATGTTAAAACCCTATCCTCTATTCAACCAATGATAAAAACAACGAGCCTTGTCAAAAATTGTCTGGTTCTTATAAAAATGTATACTGATTCTTGTGGACCTGAGACATATTTTCGAGGCTCGTTTTCAAAAACCAAGAGGTGCTTGCTTTAATCAAGAACGAACTAAAAATGTCTTATGAAGTGAATAGTAACAGAAGAATCTCTGAATTGATCAAATTTCGTTCTTTAAATAAAAAGTCTCCAGTTTTCCCCATTTTGGTATTCTGGATACCGAAGCCTAAGAAGCTAGGAGAGGACAGGCGCTGGTACCCAGAGTAACAAATTGGTAGATACCCAAAGATAATTTCTTTTTGGCCCAAAAGTTAACTCTTTGATTAAGAGAGGTGGTATTTAATATAATATAGCTAATCTTACATAGAATAATATTATGATATAATAATTGCTATAACTTAAAGAAAATATCAAGTTGCTACGTAATTTAAAATTTCACGCAGATCGATGAAAATTTTATTAGCATCTTTGTGACCAGACATACTACATAATTTTTTAGCCGTTTTGCTATAATAAACAGTGCAATAATAGACATGGTGCTGTCGATGTGTTTGAAGGATGAATAAAGCAAGCTCACCACCTCTATTACATTTGAGACGCTGTTGAAAATAAGACGACTGTCTATTAACATCAAGAGCAGATCGAGAGAAATGTGACCTTGTTCCAGGCGCATCTAGAATCTTTTTGGTCATGCCTTGTTCATTTTATAGCGAGTTAAAATTATCATTAGTTATCGGAATCAATTGGCTTTCAGCCCTTGAAGAGTGCCAGTACAGAATATTCTTCCCTTTCCCATAAACAATCAAGAGAGAATGACGATGCAAGCAAATTGTATATCTTTTAGGATTGTAAGTCTTTGTCACAAATTGGTATGTCAATATTTTGAAGGAAATTTTGTATATGCTGAGATATTTTTCAAGCCTTATTGCATTATTTGATTTTGCTGATATATGATCCTGTCTTCATGTAGTCCAGCAATTGTAGCAAAAGCTACTGCAATTTGAATATCTTATTGGAATAATGTCCAGATGCATGCATCTTTTTTCTGCCAAACTGCAGCAAAAAGTAAAGTTCGACAGAGTTGTAAATTGATGACGAGATTGAAATTTGGTTTTACAACTGTTGCTTTAGGATTTAATAATGCTAACGGGCATTTTAAACTTCTTTAAATATGCAAAACAAGATAAATTTGATACACTTTTCCTGATATTATCCGAAGGACTTTACAATGTAGCCCTATTCATTAATATTGTTTCCGATAAAATTTTCAAAACCAAAACATCCTAAAGTATATTTTGTGACTTCGTCATTGAAATTAATTACAACGTACTAATTCGGCATATATCTGAGACCCAAAGTGGTACTGATGTTAAGCATCTTTAAGAAGGCATTTAGTACCGTAAATCCTTGAATTAGCCCCCTGGGGGCTTATTTTTTCTTGAAATGGGGGCCAATTCGAGAATTTACGGTAGCAATGGAGGCTTATTCGACGGGGGGGCTTATTGACAATTTGTAGATCTAGGGTGGGGCTTTTTCCAGGGAAGAAGGGCCAATTCGAGGATTAACGGTATATTGCTAGATAGAATCGTGAAACAATAGAGCAACAACAACATTGTAACGGGAATTGGTGCACCCAATCATGTCAAAAAACTACTTATTTGCGAGGTCCACATTACATTTTTGTTCTTATAACCATTTCTGACATGCATATGTAGCGTCAGAGAAGCGGGTCTGATGTGCTGACATTTGTATTCTAACTAAATGCCAATGCAGGAAGCACATGACTGCCACTCGCTATTAAACTTAAGAATAATGTCCAGGTCCTGTTATCTAGAAAACTTAATGAGACATCTTCTATTCCCCAACAAGGTTTAAATCAGCTGAAGAAGCACCCTTTAACGGCAAGAAACTAGTCTTAAGAGGAACTTTCTGTAAGGGAATTTACAGAAAATATTGCCCAGATTTGATGGTCAAACCCAGATTTGATTGTTCCCAGCCTAGGTATTCTTAAGAAATATAATTTTTAGCCTGAATTTATTCTTAAAGCATTCTTATTTTTCAAATCTTATATGGTTTCAGGGGAACATCGCTCGCTCTTTAATAAATACCACGCTCTTTGAAAAACAAGTTCACTTCGATCTGTGATTTTCTGTAACGAACTTCTTAAAACAGACAATTGCTGAAAAATGAGACACAAATATGCAATCTAAGGCTGAGTAATAATTTTACCAACTTTTTATCTTGATAACAAAATTTAGCATATTTTGTCACCGAGGTTTTTAAAAACACGGTCGATGTCTCTAAGCATGAAGAAGATAAACGGATTTCTACAAAGATGTGGGTTGATAGGAAATATCTCAGCAATGACGCAGTAACCACTTCATATGTAATCTTTGACATTTAAAACCTATTATTGTTAACTTTCTGTTCGACTCCCATCGGTGATCATCTAAATTCTCATTGGGTGATATCAACAATGGGCAATTGTTACTTGTCCTATCGTTGCCTATCGTGACCTATCGTTTTCCAGTTCCTCTATTCTTAACTTGGGGCATTGTCGGTGAACCAATTTTCAACGTGAACAGGATAATTCGCTGAATAATTACTGTGAAACTTCTTTGAGGAAATTCTTTCTTGTTTAAATATTTTTTATATAGATTGAGATCACAGATTTCGGTTGCTAAAAGCAGGTTTTTTATGATTCAATCAAAAAATAAACAAAGAAATTAATTCTCACAGTTCTTAGCAAACATGAACCTTTATATTGAAGTTAACAAACATAAACCGAAATATTTAGATATAATTATTTTTAGCTGCAAATGCTCCTATATCTCACAGATTTATTTTCCATCTTCCAACTCTAGTTAAATCTATTTTAAATGCTTTACAAACGTGATTGTGAACCGTTTTTTGGCGGTACAAAATTTGAAGATGGAAAATTTTAAAAAAGCTAGCATTTTAAAACAAGGAAAACTTCAATATGTTGTAAAATGCTTGCTGTTTTCAGAGCCATCTTCAAATTGATTGTGGTTTACAAAATTCCAAAAAACGATCAATAAACACAAATACATAAATACAAACAAAAACACCTCAACATTGAATACAAAACTTCCCGGCTTCTATTTTGACTTCAATTGTTTGAAAAAAGGAGGCAAATATATCTTAAATAGAATAGCAAAAATTATATAATATTTTTTGTAAAAAGATAAATAAAGGTAAATTTTGTATAAATATATTAAAAACTGAAATCTCAGTAAGGTTGGAAATCAGATGAATTTAATTGTGTAGTATTTATTCATTTGCATTTTATGCACCTTAAAATAATTAAATCATTTTACACTTCAGCATAAATTTTTGGTGTTTGAAAATACTCAAGCACCCGCACAAATCAAATAATCAAATGAAGAAAACCCCTCTCACCCCCTCCCCTTCACCCCATCCCCTTTCCCCCTCCTCTTCATCCTTTTCACCTCCTTCACCCCCTCCTCTTCATCCCCTCTCCTTCACCCCTTCCCCTTCATCCCCTCTCCTTCCCCTTCCCCTTCCCCACCCTTTCACCCTCCCTCACCCTCTACCCTTCATCCCCTCCCCATTCAACCCCCTCCCCTCACCCTCTCTCCCTCACCCACCCACCCTTGAGTATCAGTCTAATAGAAATAAGCCGTGAACTTTGTAAGCTTAGCCTGTGTCCCAGACTCTACTTTCAAGTTAGGGGTCTGGAGCATAGGCTATGTACACTCAGAACAACGGTGACGATGTCCTGCATCCGTACCAACAATTGTGTATGATAATGAATTTTCAGTGTCAAATATGCTGAAAATTATTCAAATCTGATTATATTTTGTAATACACCAAAGTCACACAAGAATTTATTATCTTTTTTTATTAATTTTTTTGCCAATTTGCTCTCTTCTTCCAATTAACAGAGAATCTATTATGCAGCAAAACATTGTTCGACTGGGAATAAAACCTTGAGTGGGTTTTCAAGTCATTTCAGCTTGGTTACAGCGCATGTGATCCGCCCTTTAATCTTTTCGTAATAAGTTGCAAATGATTTCCAAAAGATATGCAGATTACATGCAAATAGGCGCAAGGCTGAGACAATGTGGCCACTGCAACAACAATCATCCCAGCCCAACTCAACCTGCTGCCTTCTTCTATGAAATCTTCTACTCTTCCTCTAAACCGAATGTAGGATATCCATACGAAGTGCAACGAATAGAAAAAATTGTCACAATGTTTGATCCGCGCGATCGTGGCTCGGGGGAGAGTACCTTAACATGTTTGAAGTTACGGGGACGTGCCATTAT